ATAAATAAAATCTTTAAAAAAAAAAAAAAAAAGAGCTGCTTTTCCAGCCCTCTTCTCATCAGTTCTAAAAGCATTGCAAATAGAGATGTGGTTAAGATGGGTTAGTACAGTCACCCACAGTGGGACCCAAAGTAGTAGGGGGTTCACTGGGAAGTGGCCCAGGGTAAATCTCAACCGGTCACGGTTTTGACCCAGTCTTCCTGGGCGCTAGTCCCAGGGCCACAGGGGCACACCCTCTCCCGCTGGCGTTTGTAATAAACCAGAAACTGCACTCCCTGCAGCCTTCCCTTCGCCAAGGGAACACAATTCTGCTGCCGCTCCTGGGATAAGGGCTCTATCTTCCTAAAAAACGTCCCAGAGAGTGGAAAGAGGAGTGGAAAGCGGTTTCTCGAGTTCTGTCTCCAGGAAAGAAATGGACTGTGCCTGACCCCACAGTGCAGCTCAGGTCCCAGAAATTTCCATCCTATCTCCTGGCAAGGGCTGCCTGGAGCAAGCAGCGCACGAGGAGGAAGTGGGGCAAACCGTTTCGCCCCACTCCACGCGCCCCTAGAACTTACTGTGGTTGCAGATGATGGTGATGACCAGTGACAGGAGAAGGATGGCGCAGGTGCCGGCCAGGGGTGCCCAGATGTAGATTTCACAGGCGAAGTCCAGCCCACTTTTTTCCACTAAAGACGCCGACGTTTAGGAGCTGGCCCGGGATCCTCCAACCCACACCACCAGCTGGGGCCTGTCCCTCGGGTCGGGTCTCGGTTTCCCCACCATTTGGACAGCTTTCGGCTCTACCTCCAGGATCAGGGCTGAGCCTGGCAGGGGCTCTCCCCGCGGTCCGCACCGCCCCTGGAGGGTCCCAGTCCCGGCACCCCTGCGCCCGTCTCACCTGCGCTGCCCGCCGCAGGCCGGCAGATTCTCGGGCGCAGAGACATCGGCTGCGACGCGTTGGTGGGCGCCCGCGTGGGTAGTCGCGGCGCGGGCGTCGGGGTGGGCTTGACTGCGGGAGAAACGGGCCGTGGTTGGAGTCGGGCAGGGGACATCGACGCTAACCCTCCCCACCGCTTCGCGCGCCTTTGCCCAACGGGACGCCTCCTTCGCCCGCGCCGACCTCTGCACTCAGGGAGGGGAGATGAATTGGGGACCTCCAGGATTCGCGCTCACCCCTTCGCGGCGCGCGCCGCAGCCTGCTGGGTCCCGGGCCGGGCCAAGCGCACCAGGCGCCTCGGACCGGAACGCAAGAGCCCGCTCCCCGTCGCCCAGCCTCTCTCCAGGGCTCAACCTGCAAGCTTGTGGGCTTGGGTTGATAGCCGCATTGTAGTGACAAGCCAAGGCAGGCCCACAGAATTTAAGTAACTGCCCAGGAGCAGACAAGCACCCGAACTCGAGCCTAGATCCGCCGGACCTAAGAAGCCATCTTCAGTACCCCCAGCCGGATCTTAGCCTCAGTTTCCTTGTCTGTGAAGCAGTATTAAGTAGCCCCCACCCCCAAGGGCGCTAAGAGGTTCAAAAGCGGGGCGTCCGTGTCAAAAAAAGGGGTTCAGAGGTGAGCCCTAAACCCCACACCGAGAGGTGCCGCGCCCCGGGCGCCCGGACCTGGCAGGAAGACCGGCACGAAGGGGCTGAAGTACAGCCTGGAGTTGCTCAGGACAGAGCAGAAATAGTAGCCTTCGTCCTCCTTGCGGAAGCGCTGCAGGGTGAGGCTGTAGCGGTTTTCACGCATCTTCGTGCCCGAGATCTGTTTGGAGTCCAGCCCTTCCGCCAACTTGGTCCGGCTTTCGGAGAGGTACATGAGGAAGACGGGGCGGGCGGCAGGTTCATTCTTCTGGTGGAGCCAGGAACAGCCCGGCGCCGCGCTGGACAGCAGCACCTCGCACTGCAGCTCCACCTTCTGAATGTCCAGCTGTGCGACCACCATCGGCGGCGACATGCGGAAATGGCTTGGCCCGGCGGCCGCGGCGGCATCTGCGGGCGGCAGGCATCGAGGCTGAGCCCGGAGCCCCGCGCTCCTCGTCTGCCCCGCCCCCCGCCCTCCCGGACGGTCGCAAACTCACGGAGCAGCAGGGCCAGCGGCAGGAGCAGGGCGGTCACCCGAGAGGCCATGGCGCGCTGCGCGCGGCGCGACGCGTGCGGACTCGCGCTGGAGCGGGTGGGACAAGGAGGGGGGGAAGTTGCGCCCTTCGGCCGGCCGAGGAGCCACATTTCGCGCTCGGAGGATGTGATGTCACCCGAAGCCCCGCAGAGGAGAGTCGCCCTCTTTTTCGCGGTTGCCACCTTCCAGCCCAGGGAGGAGGCTGGGGTCCATGATCTGGGCCGTCAAAGCGGGCTTGCAGGGCAGCTGGGGACGGTTAAGAGCTGCGGGCTTGAGGATGAAGAAAAAGGCTCACAAATGACCTTTGGAAAAGGCTCTCTTGTGGGGACGGCAGAGACAGAGGGTAAAGAGGGATTACAAGAGGCGAAGAAGGTGAGAGTAAGCAGGAAAGCAGGGTGTCCACTTCCTTTGTAGTCACTCAGAATGGCTCTAGCAAGATGGGCACTGAAGCTTGGGGAGGGAGAGGCGCTGGTGACTTGCACAGGTCCCCAGCAGGGTAGTCTGGTGTTCAGCAGGAGGGAGAATACCAGGGGGCAGCAGCTACCTGCCTTGTGTGGGACTGGAGTCCTCTGCTGACCACACCCTTGGAGATTCCTCCCCACTGCTAAACATCACCATACAGCCTCAACATTTTTTCTTGGGGCCACTGCAACAGCCTCCACATGAGTCCATCTCTTGGCCACACCTTCAGCCACCCTGCCATGATCATGATTCTCATAAAGGGGATCTGACAGTGTCACTCTTGCAGCCTCCTGTGACTTGTAGGACTGGATGGAAGCTGAAACATGGCTTGGCTCAGAGCTTCTGGGTGCTGGCTCCTCCTAGCCTCTGCCCAGTCCCCAGGCCCTGCATTCTCACTGAACTTGACGTTGTCTAAACTCTGGACTCCTTGCCTTTGCTGTTCCCTTTGCCTGAAATACCATTCTGTTTAACCCCTGGCCCCAGCTCCAGTGCTGTAGGACGTGGACCTCATTCCTCTGTATCCTTGGCTTTAGGCGCTTGGCAGGGACACGTGTGAAGCCTGGGTGAATGCCTGGGTGGAGGCAGTTTTCCCTCTCAGGCTCCGGCACATCATACCCCCTTCCTTCTTAGCCATTGCTATCCTGAAACCTTCCAGCCCCAGTGAATACCTGCCTCTCCTTTCTTCAAGGTGCCCGAGCCTTCCCACTTTGAATCCTATAATGAATACACCTCACACTGTTGCTACTTGATTCTAGAGTCAAGCCACGTGGCATTATCTGTTCCATGTGTCTGCCCCATTTGTGGGTTTTGCCTGATGAGGACTGTGTTGCAGACACCCCTCCCCACCATGTCATATCATAGCTTGGGCTGAGCTGTGTTTGTAGAACTTAAATGTTGGATGGGGCTTTACAAAAAATTATTACCATTTCTTTTATTTCAATGTGTGCTCCCCACCCTTCTCAAATCATTCAAGGTGCTTACCCCTATGTAAGGGGTAACATTTAACATATTTTATTTTATTTTATTTTAATTCCAGCGTGGTTAATGTACAGTGTTGTATTAGTTTCAGGTGGACAGTAGAGTGATTCAACACTTCCATCCATCACCCAGGGCTCATTACAAGTGCCCTCCTTCATCCCCATCACCTGTTTCGCCTCCCCTCTGGTAAGCACTAGTATATTCTTTATAGTAAAGAGTCTGTTTCTTGGTTTGTCTCTCTCTCTCTTTTTTTCCTTTGCTTACTTGTTTTGTTTCTTAAATTCCACATGAGTGAAATCATATGGTGTTTGTCTTTCTCTGACTGACTTATTTCCCTCAGCATTATACTCTCTAGCTCCATCCATGTCGTTACAAATGGTAAGATTTCATTCCTTTTTATGGCTACTAATAATACATGTATAAATATACCACATCTTCTTTATCCATTCATCTATCGGTGGACACTTGGGCTGCTTCCATAATTTGGTTATTGTTAATAATGCTGCTGTGAACATAGGGGTGCATGTATCCCTTTGAATTAGTGTTTTTGTGGTTTTTTATAAGGACTACTTATTTTAGAGAGAGAGAGAGAGAGCGCGTGCATGAGTGGGGGGAGGGGCAGAGGGAGGAGAAAGAGAATCTCAAGCAGACTCCCCACTGAGTGCGGAGCCTGACACAGGGCGTGATCTCACAGCCCTGAGACCATGACTTGAACTGAAATCAAGAGTGCTACCACCATTCACAAAGATAAACTCAAAGTGGATGAAAGACCTCAATGTGAGACAGGAATCCATCAAAATTCTAGAGGAGAACATAGGCAGTAACCTCTTGGACATCGCCTACAGCAACTTCTTTCAAGATACATCTCCAAAAGCTAGTGAAACGAAAGCAAAAATGAACTTTTGGGACTTCATCAAGATTAAGCTTCTGCACAGCAAAGGAAACAGTCAACAAAACAAAGAGGCAACCCACAGAATGGGAGAAGATATTTGCAAATGACACTA